GGTGAGCAGCAAAGCTGGATTTAAAACTCATCCCTAATGGACTCTACTCTGTCTTCCCTATCCAAGGTGCTACATTAAATAAGACACGCCATCAAACACAGCAAAAACAGATTTTTGCCTAAAGGGTGTTAATGATGTTTTACATGAAAGGGCTGGAATTCCCTTTTTGCAGCGTTTTCAGTACAAAGTCTCTGCGCTTATAAACTTAGCCACCTGCAGATGGAAGCTGAATGACTCATTTTCCCCCACACTCACTTTCATGTCAGGTGAGGTAACTGCCAGTTACACTTGATGCGTTACATGTTCCCAGACTGGAGGGCTACAGGCCACCCTTAGGTCAGGGTCACCTGGAGGCTGGCTGATGGCGGGGAGCTAGGGTGACTTCATGATTTCGTCCCCCCAGAAACAAAAGCAACAGTGACGGCGGCTTCACCAGTATGGGAAGTGGGTGAATAAGGTGGAAGAGGGAGCTGCCCTGACCTCGGAGAGGCCAGGAAGGACTCACGTCCTGCTGCGACGCGCGTCAGAACCACGGACAGCTCCCGGTTCCCTGCTCTTCAGGGGCGCCTGGGCTTCAGGACCACAAAGGTCCCTTCCAGCCTGCGAATGCAGCTCCAAAATCAACTTTTTTTTCCCCCCTGTACAGAGGCATTGGGACTAATTTGCTGTCTCTGCAGAAACCCAATCCCAGATCTCTAGTTCCAATCCTGAGAATGATTTGGAGCCTGGGGAGTGACAGTGACAAGGTGCCTGGTGGATTAGGCTGGCTCCTAGAGAAGTGGATGCTACTTTAGATCAGTAATGTGAAAGTAGGGCGGTGTGCTCTCCTCTCCCCAGGCTTCCTCACGCAGGGCTTCATTGCCAAATCGCACACAGCACACACGGCTGTCTCCCGGCCCCCCTCAGCCCAGGATAAATAAAACTCCAGGTTATCTCAAAGGCAGGGGTGGAAGCAGCTAATGCAGGAAGATGGGGCATTCATTACGCCATTTACACAAGCTGAGGATAAATGATCAAATTCCCTGTGTCAACCACAAAGAGCTCAAGGATAATTTTTAAACGCAGGAAGTATTCCTCCAGGGCTCTGGTAGTTTCTTCCTCCAGGCTGCAGTGCATTTGCGAGTGCGCCAAGCTACGCCACTACTGATTTACTGTGCTAGGAACAGCACTCCATCAATGTCCCCGAGCTGCCACTGCCACCAAGCTCCCCCTGTCCCCGGGCGTCTTGCTTACAGAAGAAAATTATTCACTTGCTTGTATGTTACATGCAAAACAAACTATTTTTAGCTGCCTACATCTATCACCTCCCTTTGCTATCCAGGCTCGGTCGGGGGAGCAGGGAGAAGGAGAAGGACAAAGGAGTGGGGAATTCTCAAGCGTTCTTTAAAAAAGCGAAATGTGCACACGCTGGTGGTGACACAGGTTATCATCGGTGGTGACAGAGAAATGTGCAGGCTGTTCCCGTTGCTGTCACATGAGCTTTGTCTTGTCCTGCCAGGCGCCTGCGCGGAATGGACAGTCAATGATGCTGGCAGAGCACGAGCCATTTTTCTTGTCTGCACAAGAAAGCCTCCGTGAAGCCTCCTGCTGCTGATGCCTTTCACACTTGTAAGGAGGGTGGGAAGCCTTTCAAATGACTTTTCTGGCCGAATGAGGGATTGCATTGGCACTGAATTCCTCTTCTTGAGGTTCTGGATTTTCGCTTTGTTTTGTTAATGTTTAAATTTATGACTCGAGATTTCACTCTCAAATAGTGAGGGCTAGGGGCTCATCCAGTGCAACTTTGTCATGCTAATTTTTGCAAGCAGTTTCAAGAGTGCATGTCACGCCTATACAAACACACAGAAAAGAGGTCGAGGTAGACTGCAGAATGCCAGCGTTTGGCTAAGGAGGATGTTTATGTGGTCAGTGTGTATAAATGTTATTTGGCAAAAATGTCAATGCATGGAAAACTAGCTTCAGAGAGGAGAACCAGTGGGTCCTGGGACTCTGGCAGGGGATCTGGCCCCCTTTGCAGGGGATGTGGGATGACACAGGGACCAATGCTCTGAGCACTTAAGACGCTTCCGTCAGATTAGCCAATAGCACGATTCGCTCTGAGGTCATTGTTGCATTGCTTACGCATGCATTGCTATGGTACAGCCCACTGGATGGGCTGTAAAGCCTTAGGTGTGACTATATGTCCCTACTGGGAGGTTAGATGGACCAGGGTAGAGATGCATGCCAGCCCATCGACCTGGAGCCTGCGCAGCTGTGGAACTCCCACTGCCCCTGCAGTGCCATTGCGTAGCAGAAGTAGGGGGAAGCAGCCACTTTGTTGCTTCCACATAAAGCCTCTAACTTGAGTTCTTGAAGTTTGCAGGAAGTCAGCATCCACTTAAAGTCCAACTCTGGTTGTGACAGCTTCCTCACCTGGTCTAAGGATGCCTCAGGCGCACAAAACCAAAACTCACACCGGCAGTGTATGCAAACGTACATCTAAGCACTCCTCAGACCGGTTGGGGGCTCTGTCACATCTAACCCAGCTCTGAGTCCATGGATGGTGCTTGCCTGCCTCCCACCTCCCTGCCGTCTCATTTCCATCATGAAACTCTGCAATGTTGAGCTGCCCCCTCTGCCTCTGCTCTCTGGAGTTCGCTGGAACGCCTACACCCCAATGCTTGGGATCTCTTCTTTGCTCAAGACATCCTTTTTTCATCCCTCATTCTTCTTCATTCATCAGGCTTATTCATTCATAAACTCAATCAGTCATTCCAGCACAGGGAAGGCTCGCTGTGAGGTGCTGTCTGTCCCTGCCTGGTGGAGCTCACCATCCCACAGACATGAGACAGATAATGACAAATGACAACCAGAGTGGCGTTAGGAGGCGTGTCCCAGGGACACATGAGGACGGCAGCCAGTCTGAGGCAGAGAGGTCCAGGAAAGGCTCCCAGAGGGAAGATCCCCATGCAGACTCTACAAGGTGCACACAGGTGAGTTAGGGCAGCTTAAAAACCTCTGAGGGATTTCCATTAGGACACACCCAGGTATATCCACATGGCCCAAGTGCTCTAAGATGATGTGTCCTGGGGTCCAGCCTAGCTCATGACAGTTCCCTTTACTGCTGCCATCTTAGCCATGCTGGGCTTTGTCAAACAGCGAAATGGCACGAGAGCTCAAGCCCCCACACACACCCAGACCGTGTGCATCTTGAGGGACTATTTTCTAGCCCAGACTCTCTCTCTCTGCATGTTCTTGGCATCTTTTGAATCCACAAACAATAAACCGTGGTCTCATTGAATAGGAAGAGAGAAAATCAGACATTGAAAGACAAACTCCTAACGGTGTGTGGGTCTTGATGACTATTGGGAAGGGCAGTGGCTTTGGCTGCTGGTGGGTGTGGCTGCACGGTGAACTCACACTGCTGCCAGTGCAGTCACAGAAGACAGTCAGGTTGACCCCACTGGCAGCAAAATGCCAATCTTTCCATCAAGATGAGAGCAGGGCTCTGGACTCAAATCCGAACTTGCAACAGTTCCTTCTAGTCCTAAATTCTCCGCTCTTCACCAGTTTGACACCTCTCAGACAACTCTCTCCCCTTTTGTTCATTTGTTTTCACATGTGGGAGGGGGCGTGTGATATGCTGTTTGAGGTGCTGATGAACTCAGCAAAGATCCTGGAGACACACTGAGTGTGATTGCTGTGTGCTCCCCACACGGCACTAGCAACCGAGCATGCACCCTTGGTGCAGTCCTGCCAGCGCCTGAGTGCCTGCGACCAGCATGCAAGAGTCCCTCTGGATCCTAGAAATAAGGTGGCTGTCAGTGAGGGGGGCTGGTGAGAAAATGGAAAGACCACACCATTTTTGGGAGGATGAAATCCAGAGGAGAAAACTGCATGCCGTGTTGCCACCGACACTCGCACGAGTTCTGTTGTCACTGCTGATGTTATTCATTACAGTGCCTGCTGCTCTGGAGGTGTAATTTAAAAAGACGCGTAACTGCAGAGACCGTCCCCAAGATGAGTAAATACTCTGAGGCTCTTTCACTTCAAAGTCTTTTTCCAGGAACATTAGGAAGAAGAAAGTGCTTTAGAGTTCTTTGTAGAAACAGACAATTGCAGGATTGCATGAGCCATTATTTTCTGTTAGCTGTGATTTCTTCCACCATTGGCTCCTTATGAAAAAAAAAGTGTGTGTGCATATATGTGTGCATGTACATATGTGTGTGCACATGCGTATGTGTCTATATATGTATGTGTATGTGTATACACGTGTGTGCATATATGTGTATAGACATGTATATGTGTGTATTCCTGTGTATACACATTTAAATATGTGTATATGTGTGTATGTATGTATACCTGTGTATATACATGTGTATATATGTGTCTGTGTATTTGTGTGTGTGTTTATATATGTGTGTGAGTATACACGTGTGTATATATCTGCATGTATATGTGCGTATAGTGTGTGTATATATGTATGTGTGGGGATATGTGTTTATATGTGCGAGGATATACGTGTGTGGGGTATACGAGTATATATGTATATATGTGTGTATGTGTGTATACATGTGTGTATGTGCACATATATGTGTATATGTGAGTATGTATGTGCATGTATATGTGTATATATGTGTATCTATGTGTGTATATGTTGTGTATATATGTGTATGTGTGGTGTTTGTATATATGTATGTGTGTGTATGTGTATATGTGTGTGTATGCATGTGCGTGTATATGTGTATATATATACATGTGTATATGTTGTGTATATGTGTGTGTATATGTGTTGTGTCTGCATGTGTGTGTGTGTGTATGTGTTAGTGTATGTATTACATATACAAATTTTAAATTTAGGGTGTATCTGGAACTGGAGGCTCCAGTTTATGAGTCTGAAATGCCATTAAGCTGGTGTGAGAAATTCTAATTGAGTGGATACATGTCTTCTCTGAGAGGAATAATTTAGGGAAATCCAAGAAGATTGCGGTTTAAAGCCACGCCGACATGTTACCAGAAAGCTTAGGAAACTGAAAACATATTTTTATAGTTTTAAAAAGCTTCTGTTTTCTTTCTTCCGAAGGGTAACATTTCTCTGGCTTCTGAACTTCTGCAGGTGAGTACATGAAGTTTACAGTGTATCTGTGCTGCACTTTACCCTTCGCTTCCTAAAATAATTCATCTTCCACAGTAACAGGATCTTCAAAGCAGGATTTATCTCCAACCCTTTCACACACAACCAGGCACAAAGCCGTGTTCTTCACCTTGAAGCTGGGACACAGGAAGCGCCGTAGCTTGATTGTCAGCCTCCTCAAGCATCCCCAGGACCCTTCATAAATGGAACGAACTCGAGCTGGCTCAACCGCTTGTTTTAAAAGTGTGTCTTTCTAGGAAATATTTGTTCTGCCATTCCCCCCACAGTTTTACGAAATAAATCACGTTGTGCTTGGAATCGTCCCTGCGTACTCCCGAGAACTGTTCACCTAGAAGATAAACACGTGGGTAAGCGTTGGTCCATATGTATGTCCGATCAAGAGATCCTGGCCCCCGCGGAAACAGGTTTTCACGCAATCCAGCTCTGGCACACTTTGAGCTGCCTTTCTGTTTTAATGCATGTTCGGAAGATGAATCTGCCATTACGCCGACTAATGAAGTCTAGTCCAGCCATAGCGGTGTCTCAGCAGCAGAAGTGATGGCCGGTTACTGAGCGTGTTTTAGACGCCGTCTGCGTTAGAAAGTATCTTCCATGGGGTGGGCCATGGAGTCGGCACCACTGTTCTCGAGGGGCAGTCTCGAGCCCCTCATCTTACAGGGGAAACTGAGGCCCACTGAGATCAACAACTGGTGCAATGTCAGCCGCTGGCCAGTAGGTGGCGCCGGACCTACTCAGCACCAGGGGAGGCCCCTCCATAGTTTAGTGATAAAAAGGCACTTTCCAGAGGATGCTACCATGCTTGGTATAGAAATCTTGAAAAAGTGGCTGCTCCGGTGCAGCTCGGAGAGGCTGTGTGGGGCACCCGGGGTGCACAGGCACGGGGCTCAGAGGCAAACTCAACACATTCACGTCCATCTTTCCATTTATGTTTGGTTGAATCAGCCTAATTTGCTTGTATGGAATGAAATTCAGAAAAAAAGAATGATTTGTTTTTAGGGTCTTTGAAATGTCCTTAGTCATGTACTTGTCCTTGGTTTGAAATCATATCATAAATTGGAATCAGGGAATTTGAAGGGAATTTTCAAAGTCCCTCGTGACTCTTCATGTGCAATCTCCAGCATGGAGTATTTCCTGATTTTCCACAGGGGATACCCTTTTGTATCAAGACCTGGGCCTCTGTCCTGCCCTTCAACCACAGTGCATCTTTCCTGACCATTCTGCCCTATGATAACGTCTCCCTTTTATTTTCTCTATGGCTTATTTCAAAGCTAACCTATGCCCACTTTTCTGTTTTAACAGCTAGCTTCTTTACACGAGGTATGGTTGTCTCAAATGTTTAGGCACATATACGAAATTCTAATTGGCTTTGCCAGAAATGACCCTATAACCTGGGCCAGATTGCCAGATGGGCCAGAGTGTGCTCCAGTCGGCGGGATGTGCCCCTGGGCGAGCCAGGGTGTATCTCAGCCAGACAGCCATAAGATGCGGTGCTGGACACCCCAGTCATGAGTTCATGGAGCTGCTGACTTTCTGGGTTTCAGCTGTATAATCAGTAAGAGTGCTGTATCTATTCAGGCAGAGGAGGTGGTCTCTCCAGCTCCACTAGAGATCTTGGATCTGTGATGCACACATAATCACTCCTAAAATTACCTGAGACAATTTCTGAAATCACGAGGGAGTGGCTTCCTGAGGGGGGGTGATTACACGAACCCAGGAGGACCTGGAGGTCCTGCTTCTGTCACTGGCTGGGCTGCGTATTGTACCTTTTCATAACTACAAACCCTCCCTGAAGGTCTTCCCAAGGTGAAATATCCATGAACAATTAGACTGTATTTGCTCTTGCTGATGTACCCCATGGTGGACACCTGCCATAAATATGGTGGTGGTGTCTGTAAGACTGGCCATGTTCACAACTGCTCTCATATTCTTTTGTGAAGCATAGAGTTAAATGACAGCTCTGCAAAGAGTGAGATTTATAGCCTAGTTTATGTTTTTTGGGGGTAAGAAATTCTTCAGTGTTTCTAGAAGCTACTTACCCTTGGTAGATGTCACTTAAAGGGGAAGAAAATGCTGCGTTTGCAAGGGGAGCCTCCTGGTGTTTTGAGTAGGTCAGCATCCACATTACGAGATGGTAAAAACACTTCACTAGGACCTTTCACAAGCTAAGTACTCGAGGGGCCATGATACTGAAGGGGATGGAGAATGGAGGCAGCTCATAAATAATGTGGGGCTGGTAGGGCTGCAGTCCAGACATGACCACAGCACAGGGAAACGCACCTCTGCCAGTCTTCGCGAACTTCACAGCACCTTCCCATAGAAAAGTGCCGGATACTGATCTAACCGCATCAGAAGTCCTTGCTGCCGGTCCATGAGAGGTCTAATTTAATCTGTCCCTTACTATCTTAAATTAAATGGGCACATGACTCCACTGACCGTCCACAAAGTCTTTCCTGGAGTGAAGCTTTAATTCTCTGTCCACCCACTGCAGTCCCAGACAGGGGAGTAAGAAGGCCTGACATTTAATGACACTTGAGGAAGATGTGCGTGCCTGGAGTTTCTCAGCTGTGGGACATCTGCCCCTAGCAGAGTGTCGGGGGCCGCTGGCAAACGCTGAGGCGGATGTCCCATGGTCACCAAAACTCCGCGTGTCCGGGATGGTGGAGCAGCTTTTCCCGGCTCACGTGCACACAGTGCTAGGCCGACTTCAGCAGCTTGGTCTCCCAAGCCGAGGTTATCTGAAGGACACCGGAGAACCGCGTTTCTCCTTCTTGGTCTCCCAAGCCGAGGTTATCTGAAGGACACCGGAGAACCTCGTTTCTCCTTCTGTGCCAAGGTGAGCACACAATGCTTCAGATGTTCCGCTATCCCCTTGTGAGACAGACGGCCCGGCTTCTGTGTGGCTTTGGGGACAGGAGTGCCAGTCACTGGCCACAGAATGACAAATTGCCTCTCTGCCAATATCAGAGCAGGGACAGTTCTCACCACAGCGTCCTCCAGATGGGCCCAATTAAACTATTAGCCAATGAGTAAGGTCTGACGGCTCCATTAGGAACCCCCCTGTGCTTAAATAAACAGCTCAGAATAAAGAGTCTCTCCATGGAGCCCTGGCTCGGCGAAGGCCCCCTCGGGACAAGGTCTCCAGGGTCAGCCCTGGTGAGCCCTGGGGGGTGTCGGGGTGGCTGGGGCAGGTCGCCCTCCCTGGTTCTCAGGGTCCCACAAGCCTCACCGCAGTGGGTGATGTGAGAGAGGGGGCAGCACCCCCACCTGCCACAGCCAGGGCAGCATTCTCCACCAGCCGCGCCCCTTTGCTTGTGCATGCTTAGACAACCACATTCCTTGACTGGATGGAACTTCCAGAACCAGCCCCTGACCTTAGCATGCTAGTCCCTTGCCAGCTGTCGCTCCCACATACAGAAATTTCAGACCTGCGCTGTTTGTCATTTGTAATTGTTGCCGAGCCAGGGGTACATTTCGTGCAGAATAAATGAAGACAGCAGACAGCGAAGCGGGTCCTTGCTGCTGCAGAGTGGTGGGCACGGCTCTCGGCGGGAGCAGGGGCTGCCCGCCTATGGGTGCTGCTTTCTCTCTGCCTGTGAAGGTGACCGTCACACAGGCCCAGGGCCCCCTCGGGGCTCTTCTCACCCCACATGGCCCCGGGTTGGTTCCCAGTGGGAGCAGAGCCTGCCTGGGAGAGGTCGCTGTCGCCACTGCCCCGGCTTACATAAAGATCCCTCGAAAACCATCAGTTCTTGAGAAAACGACTATAAATAAAACGGTCTTCAATACAGAGAGCTGGGCCCCACCAGCCCTGCTGAGCTCCTTGGGGATGGGGCTGCGCCTTTCTCTTTGTGATTACGGTCACTGCAGTCCAGTAATTTGGGTGAACTCTGATTGGCCATCCAGTATCTTTGATGTTTTAGGAGGTCACACACTACAAAAACCAAAGCGGGTCTGTCCCCTGCTTGCTTCTATGGGGAGGGGCCACCTCACGCCCTGCAGCACAGCCCAGGCCAGTGACAGCTCAGCGTGGCTGCCCAGTCTCAGCTTTTAACTGGGGCATCTGTTCCACAAATGCTCCTGAGCACCCACCGTGCACCAGCCCCGCAAGGGACGTAGCAGTGACCGGGACTGCCAAGGCCCCTACTGGGTTTAATTCATTCCGTGTAATCTCAGGCTGCTACCAGCTCCCGGAGACCGCCCCCCCCCCCCCCCCCCCCCCCCCCCCCCCCCCCCCCCCCCCCCCCCCCCCCCCCCCCCCCCCCCCCCCCCCCCCCCCCCCCCCCCCCCCCCCCCCCCCCCCCCCCCCCCCCCCCCCCCCCCCCCCCCCCCCCCCCCCCCCCCCCCCCCCCCCCCCCCCCCCCCCCCCCCCCCCCCCCCCCCCCCCCCCCCCCCCCCCACCCCCCCCCGGAGCCAGGCGCCTCTGTCCCCCCTCTCCCGGGGAGCACCCCACTTCCTTTCCGGAGCTCAGGGCCCGCCTGTTGGATTCTGTCCTCCCACCGCTGACATCTGCTCTCAGGGGAGGACGAGGAACTTCCTCGGGGCGAATTAGAAATAGCTAATTTGTGCAAAAGAAAGTCGTTGCTTGCTAGAATTGTTGCTCTGATTTTTCCTTATTCGTTAATTTCCTTTAGCTACCGGGCAGCATATTGTTGTTCTTGGTTTTGTTTCTACCTTTTCAGCCCCCATGAAAACAAGCCGTCCTGAGGCGGGCCTTTTCGCACAGGTCAGCACCAGCAAGGGAGGCTCCTTACCCATTTTTAAAGCAGTTAGATGGTGCTGAACTTGACTGTGTGCTTTCACTCCAAGAGACGGCCTCTTACCGCCCCCTCTAGTCTTAGTCCTGGCCGAGGACTGATAAACAAACCAGCCGATTCCTGACAGTGAGGACGGAAGGGTGCGTGTGTGCAGAGTAGGGGGGATGCACGCCCTCTCTGCTCTGCCCCGCTTGTGGCCATCTGCCAAGGCCAGTGTCCTCCCTGAGATGCCGAGCCCCTCAGACGACGGAGGCCTCTTCCCCCTGGGATCCCGGTGACGACGGAGACCTCCTCCTCCCAGGATGACCCTCAGATGACGACACCTAGGATCCCGACGACAATGGTCCCAGGCACCCAGTCACAGAGTGCTTGGAAATGGCCACTTAGAGCTTCCTTGCGAAAGGGCGGCTGATCCCAATGTGAGGCTGTTGTCGTCTCCGAGGGCCACCTTCCTGCGGAGGTGACTTCCTTGAGGGGATCAGTGTCCAGGGGAAATACAGGGCTGCTGCCAGAGCCTGGAGACAGACGGGAGACAGTGAGGAGGGAGA